AAAATTTCTCTAACTGACTGAAAACAAATTTGTTTTCCGTTCCCGGCGACGATAACGAACAAAATAACTCCGTCGCTCATTGTATGCGCAAGACTAACGATTCATAAACGAGACTGTAAAACGTTCCGCGACCATTTGTGTCATGAAAAAACGATCCACGTTTACTTCCTGAGTTAATACAGAAGCGGCGGCGCAGGGTGGAAAATTTTTACGATCATATATATTCTGGCATTAAAATAAAAACTTTTTTTCCGCGCGCGGACGCGGCCATGGATTTAGATTCATGTTCCATTGACTCGATGCTTCCAGCTCGACTTTAATTCTTAATGCGTTCTATTTCGCGCGTCAATCTCCGTGCAATTCACACAGATTCGCGAGTTCGGCGAGAGGCAGAAGCTAAGCACGACTCGAGGCTGTCGATGAAATATGCTCCACCGCGCTATCGATGAATATTTCCTGGGGCATGTTAAAAGCGGTTTAATCCCGCGCGACGAGCTTAACTCTCAAGATAGATACACGACGATCGCCTTATCATTTCACGAACTTCTTATAATAAGCATAAAAGAAAGTTTAACTCTCAACTCTGCTAACGATTAAATATGATTAACATAATTATTTGTCATATTGACATATTAGAATGCTCATGACAACTTTTTATTTTACTCGTTTTAATTAATTTCGTCAACGACAAGGTCAACGATTTAATTTATAAATCATTTTATTTATTTTTTTCTCGTGATAATTATAAAAGCGGTGAAAAAGTATTTAAGAGAAAAGAACGTATTTTTCTTAAACACTTTATGAAACATCTATGATGGAGTTAATGTCGTTTACGGCAGTTGCGAGTTAATACTGCACAGTTTACGGGTTTTCTACTTAAACTACGCTAAAGCACAGAAATCCGTCGATATATTTCCTAGCAGTCTGTAAATAATTCAGGAAAGCGTAACTTTAAAGAATATAGTTACCTTAGATTGTCTCGCTTATAAATGCATATAGATGCAAACACGGTTCATTTTTTCATATTATCGCGACGATTATAAAGACGACAATAATGCACCGGATTATTGCGTATGTACAAACTAATGGGTGTCGCCGTAACATCTGAAATGAAGATTAAAAATTAGAATCCTCAGAAAAAAGCGCGCCGATTTTACTCATCACTACGAAAAGGGACCACCGTCTTGTTCTGGATCTCCGTCCGATCAATTTATTCCCAACAAAAATTCCCCTTTTCATTCAACAAACACTTCCAGCAGCTTGGTTTGAAAGCAAATCACCGCCTCTCAATCGCTTCAAGTCGCTTAAAAACTTATAGTCCCACCTCAATTACTTTCTTAAATATACACGGCACTTTTCAAGCACAATACTGAAGACTTTTATGCACAGGAGCTTATAATGCCAGTCGCTTGAGTTGTTATATTAGCGATTTATTACGGGTGAAAAGTCACTGCTATTGGTGCAACGAGGTAGAGCACCGCTACTTTATGTCGTCTGCTCAACCGTCGTTTTTCGCCTCAAGCTTCGCGATATTATTTCGTGCCATTTGTATCGTTTATACATTGTGTTCACTTGCAATTATCTTGCTGTTATGAGTGCAAAATGAATTTTTCACCGTTTGGTTACGTTTTACGCTTATTTCCAAGACAGAGATCGATGTGGCACTTTCATTGAAACTTGAAATAAGAGTCAGTTTGTACGCGAAGAATGAACTGGCGTCCGTTAGATCAGCTTTGAACGTTGTACCTCCTCGCACTAATGGCAGGTTAAAAGAAATAACTACCGATTAAGACGATGCCTTGCACAGTGCATATTAATGCTTTTCATCACGATTACCGAGTCACAAAGACGCTTAGTCTACCCGAAATACTTTCAAGTAGAGCCGGAGCAGCGCGTCGTATAGCGCAGAAAAATTTGCATCGAAAAATAAATTATGTACCTACGTTGGAGAGAAGCACTGGCGATAAATATTTACCCATACGAACCCCCCTCTAATGACTTTCTCCTCCGCATATATTATAGAGGTCATCCTCCTGAGTAAATCCTTCAGAAGGTTTTAGCCGTCGCTCATTGTTTATTAAAAAGTTGTGAACAAATATAACTGCGAAATATAACACTTTGTATTAGTGCTTATCGAAGTAATTTGCTGATATGTTTATGCACACATATCAGCAAATTACTTCCCTAAGCACTAATACAAAGTGTTTATTTCTCAAACTTTTTGTTAATAATTTTTTAATAAATAACGAGTTACGGCTAAAGCTAAAAAAAAATATTCCAATAGTTGATCCTGATCGTACGTCAAATGTAGAAATTTGTGGAACAACATGTTAATCGTTTTGAGTTTCTCGATACACTGAATATTTTCATTTCCTGACAATGTACAAATATGATAACCTTTATGAAGGTTTATATGTAAACATATCGTAATAGTGAGAAGTCTTTTTTTAAGGAACGAATTTATATTAAAGCTATATATCGTATAAAAGTTCCTTATACGGAACAATGAATTAAATTAGATCAGATTTTTTAAATTTCTTTTGTTTATAACTTTTTTAATAAACAACGAACGACGGCTAAAACCTTCTGAAGGTTACTCAGGAGGATGACCTCTATAATATATGTGAAAGAGAAAGTTATTGGGGAGGGGGTCGTAAGGGTAAATATTTACCGCACTAACTGATGAACGGTTTTTTTTTCTTCTTTTTTTTTTATGGAAAAAAATTTTTTGTTGCTACCGCGATACAACAGCGCGATTTACGCTGTAAAACTGGCGATGCGAAAATTCGGACGAAAGCGTGCTCCAAAAATATTTTTAATGGAGAATGAGGAACGTGAAAATAGCCGGCATAATAATGAGATTGACACGGTCTGCAAGAAAAGAGCAGAGGTCACGGAATATTTTTTTCTACAAATTCCTTTTAAAGTTCACATTTTTTTTTAAATTTAACATGTTTTATTTTTAATTGGAAAAGATATTAATCTAATATGATATTTGAATAAAACATGATTCAATTGATTTAAGGCTCCTAGATGGTCACCGCGGCCATATTGGATTTTTACTATCGAGGCGAGGAAAACACCCAATTTTGTTGTGCATGCCATTTTCAAATAAAAAGACATTTCAATAAAACATTACTATAGATCGTTTCAGAACACTTCCGAAATTGGCCGAAAATTACCCTTTTCCCTCGACAATAAACAAACAGCCATAAAACGAAGCCTAAACATACAGGAAAAACAGCCGTTTAACGACTATCGAAAAGAGGTGAAAACGTTCCTTCCGCATGCAAATCTTACTTTTCGGCCAATTTTACGACTTTCACGAATACGTTAAACGTTAGAGCACAAGCACAGAACGAATAATAAAGAAATAGTATGCACAACAAAATTAGGTTGTCAACATGTCACAAAGGACAGAATTCTCCATTGGAGAGAGTTCTGATTTCTGCCGCGACGCGCGACGGTACGTCGCCACCGTCAACGCAGAGTTCTCGGCTGACCATCCAGGAGCTTAAACACAATTTCGTAGATTGCTTTAAATTGAGAAGGATTTTGTGAGAAATTGGATAAATGGTACAGATTCGTCGATATGCCGATTAAAATCAGCAATCGCCGTTTTAGTAACTGTTAAATAAATCTTCGTTATATTCTTTCGAAGAGTTTTATAATAACTATCAGTCGCATTTTAACGAAAATCGCGGAATCTTCATGTCGTGCCACTTATCCGAAATCCTTAATTATCTTACTCGGTCTTACGTAAAAAATATATGAGCGTATATCCACGAGATAAGATTAATATCTCCGTTATCGATTTTGTGAAAATCACCATTTCGTCCGAGCCGATTCTCGAATCGCCTCCGAATTTGATTAGCGTTTACTATTAGCGTCTCGAATATACGATGAACTTTGACGTGTAAGTATTTCCATCGTATCCCGAGCATCAACCCCTGAGTCTGGAAACGACATGACCGCGATGTGAGATACGATGTCTATATTTGTCGGTAAGAATCGAAGAGGCGCGTTTTGCAGACCGTATCCCCCAAATTGCGTTTAAATTCTTCCCCCTAAATCAATCGAGATAGATGACGACAGCATAGCAACGTAGATTGCAAAATCTAGAAACGTCCCAGTTGTTTGAGAGACGTCAACATAAATAAGAAAGGGGCAGTGGGATGAAGGTGCTACATTACGAGGAGACCTATTCTGTCATTATACTGCGGTGAATCGCGTTTCTTTTCCCTGGACAAAAAGCGCGACATTTTTATGTTGTAATCATCATCACGTCGTTATGCTGGTTGCCCCAGAAGTACCGCGCTTCCTTTAACACGCCTAAAAAATTATACAGTTTTTTACTTTTACTTCTCAAAAGACATCAGAAATTAATGTTAAAATGAATTTGACATATGGCAAACTTTAAATTGAAGATTACCTCTTTGACTTTGAAAACGAGCAATTTTTTAGCTCAATGTTTTTCTGTCGATATCGATACGTTTCTTTTGAAATTTAACGTTGAATATTTCAAAAAATCAAGCTTCAGATTATAAATGAGCAAAATTCAATCTAATGCATCTTCCTTTCTGGAGCAAATTGAAGGAATTCGATGTTTCATTCGAAGATATTTAGTTAAGGTAAAGAAATTGTTGTGAAGAAGAACTAACCATTCTTCTATCTAATCCATGAACTCTAACTGGCAATTCACCGAGAGATTTACGAGCAAGAGGAATCGCGTGGGACCTCCGGCGCATCCTGTAGTTCACTCTCGTCTCTGCAATTTTGTTCACAACACGGCACCCTCATTCGCTCGCCCCCGTCGGCCTCTCAACTTTTCTTATCACGTAGATCCCACGTGCATTAAACGTCACGCTTCTCGAGAGGCCGCGCTCGACTGCAATTATGCTCGACTGCAATTATCACCGCCGTCGATCGCGCTTTCTCCCCTTCTTCCCTCCCCCCTCACTCCTGCCGATAACGTGATCAGAAACGACTGAAATTTCCAGCATCTGCACTGGTCGAGCCATCACGTGGACTCCTTAGACAGCGGGGGAGCTTTAGGCTGGCCGAGAACCTCGAGGCCGCGCGTCAACAGTGCCATCGACGTGGCCGGCTTCCTATCGCAGGTAAGTAATCGCGCCGGGAAAAATCCACGTAGAGAAATCGATGGATTATGTGAGGTGGACAGCCACGTCCTCGAACCCGCCGATCGATCTGCCGGCGCGATTTCGCTGCGACCTTTCCCAACCTCCCGCCCCCTCCGCGAACGCAAAGCTCGCGTCGCGTAACGGCCGGCCGCGGCGCCGCGCCACAGCGTAACCATGACCGGCCCATGCGGCCAGTTTCCGATTATAGCAATCGAGATGATTGAAATCAGAAATCAGTGAAATTAGCGGACGAGTTCCAAGGATAGCGTTTAGCCTTAACTATTATACGCTGCGCGAGTCTTTACAATGACGTGTAACTCTTTTTGAATCTATGCCTCGATCGACACTCGCGAGATTGAGAGGTAAAGTAATTCTGTAACATTTGGATACGCGCGTATCCTGAAACTCTCGAGCTGATTCGTAATCTAACACGACATACGGGCGATTCGATACATATGTCAATGCATATTTGAGACCGTTATTAAAAACAAGATACGGTAATAACGACCCAGACAGTACCATGTCCCAATTTTGGAGATTTGGACATGCGTACTGCCTGGGAAGATACATAGTTTTCTAAAATTTAGTTTCCACTCAGATATTTAACACTTTCACTGCCAAACGGAATAAAAAACAATTACATCTTCGGGCCAAGGCTGTTTTTTGACCAGTTGCTACAGGTTAACTCGGGGGAATATGCCACACTTAACAAGAATTTGATTTTTTTATATTTTTCTTTCTCTTTGAAGTATCTTTGCATACTGGTCTCCTTTTTCCTTCTTTTATCTGTCATTTTTACATGATTTTAATAAAATATTTTGATTGCTTATACTATTAAAAAGAAAGAAATACAAAAAAGTGTTACAAAATGGCATAGTACCCAACCATATGGGTAATATGCCACATAGTATAGGTATATAAAATAATATACTACATACAAACATGTAGTAATTTAACTTCAAAAGTTACTTTATTCATAAAAACAGTACAAATAGTTTTTAACATAAAAAATAAAATTTTAAAATTAAATTGTAATATTAAAATTATTGTAATATTGGATTGCAACAATTAAAATTAAAATAAAAAATAAATCTTAAAAACTTTAAAACCTTAAACCTTACCAATTTTAAAATCTTATAAACCTTGAAATCTTAAAACTTTGTAAATTTTATAACTGTCAGCTACACTTTTTTTAACTACATTTTTTTCTTTTTTAGTCTTCCTTGTATACATTCAAGGCATTATTGTTCAAAACATGTGTTTTAAAACGTGTAAAAAATATGTTATTAAATTTCAATATTAAAATAAAAACTATAATACTGCCAGGAAATAAACAAAACTTGAGCAAAACATCAGATATAGAACTATGAACACTTTCATGGTATTTACAAGAGCGTTTTTAGCCGTTGCTTTGTTAAACATAACGAGTGGCATATTCCCCACACTGGCATATTCCCCCGAGTTACCCTATTTTATTGCCGATTTTTACAGTATTTATGCTTTTCCATTTTTTTTTTTTTTTTTATAGCTTTTGACCTGATTACTCCTGATACTCGGTGTATCATTTACGATACACTTGGCCTGCGTGGTTAGGTTCTAAATGTACTGTGTAAATGATACACGTGGCAGTGAGAGTGTTAATGATACTTAATTTAATTTAAATGGCGAGAAAAGACCTGCGAATTATTTCTAAGGAATATGAAATAGCTAATGGGCTGGTTAACTTATCTTTCTCTTTCTTTCTCTTTTATTATCGGCTAACATTAAATTTTAATAACACCATATTAGGTGTAGAATCACCGAGCAGCGTGTCGCGTCTCTTGTTCTTGTGGAAATTAAAGATCAAGTTATACCAGCCTGCGAGGTAGATAGCGGCTGCGTTGCAAACTTTCGTATGCGAGTCTGTTCCAGTTACACGAAAGAAAAGTAGTCATTAAATCCAATAAGGCAAAGGAGAAGCAAGAATTCATTAATTCTTACAGTCTGTGTTTTCTTTCACAAGACAAAATTTGCGCGATTATCCGATAATTTATTATTATTAGGTATATCGCAACGACAGCTCCTAGACCATTAATCGCGATCACCGACGACAAATTAGCCTTCAAAAATTGAAACTTTTTCCCCGCGTTTCGTTGAATTGCCCGTCAACGCTACCCCTCCCACTTTGCACGATTGTTACACGATTGTTATAGTTTCAGATCGCGCGTTTCGGCATATATTGTTAACGTAACGCAACCAAGTCAAAGGGAATAACCATATCCCTCAGTGCGACAGTTTATTTCAATAAATAATGAACACAAAAGAGTTCGTGCGAAAGAGATACCTCAAACGTCAAAGTTCAAGGTAGTCTGTGGCGAAGTGTAGTGCACCAGATGATCGATATGTTCGTGGATTACTTGTAAGGAAATGGACAAATTCATTTTCGCTGCATGAACGATGAGTGTATTACATTTTCAAATCGCGTTTCTCTCATTCCAAGACGGCACTAGATGTCTATAATACGTACTATTTGTCGTACACACTTTGTAAATTTTATATACAAATATATTTTCTATATATTACATGTAATATTCACATTATATTGCGATACACCGCCCTCGCGATTGGCATAATACTACTAACGACAATTGACTCTCGCAATTGGCACAGTACTAGCACAGTTCTACCGTTAATAATACATAATTCTGCTTGGTGTTCTTCAAGGTCGATATTACACACGCGATTTGCTGCATTCAGCGTATTGTTCTTTGCTACAGCACGCGGAATTGACAGAATGTCTAAAATATCCGTATAACCAATCGTTCCCAATTTCTGACAAATTACAAATTCAAGACAAATGTATAAATTAATATCGCGGAGTGCTTCTCGCATTATATTGTATATCGCTGCGTTCTATCATTCCTGCGATTCGGTACGTCCTCCAGGATTCACGGATGATCAGTCCGAATTTGCTTCGTTGCGTTGTTGACGTAAAATCGATTATCCCGCAAAAAGTACACACACCAGAACGAATATCGTGTTGCCGTTCGAGGTTTTTAATCTGTATTTCGAAGATCGAAGTTAGTGTATATCGTGCACGAAGGAGGAGAAGCACAGCACACATTTTACAACACCGTGATAAACATATTTCGTTCAAGGAAACGTTATACTGCTCAATTCAAACGTTATACTCTTCTCCCGCGTTCTACTTACTCGTCACTGTCTTATGCTCTATCACATTACACTCGTAATGTATTACACTAAATGACGCACAACGTAAAACAGTGTCCATGAAAAATTTAATTCTTCTATAAAAAAAAAAAAAAGAAAACTTTAGAAACATTATCCTAAACGTGGTTTGCTCTGAATACGTCCCACGTCTTGTGCTTTCAGGAATTTCTGCGACGCCACGGGTCTACGTCCAAATTGTGTCGTAAGGTTCGCAGTGCAGATAACTTACCTCTCGCGTCAACGAATCGCCAACAGGACCCGCGAAGAGACTTCAAGGACGAGAGCACCGAGGGTGACCGAGAATCCTTCCTGAAACCAAATCAGGATGACAAGTCCGAGGATCAGGACTCGAGGAGGCAGAGCAGTCTCGAGAGCACAACGAAGGACAATATAGAAACGTCGCTATTAGATCCCAGTCATCAGCAGCCTTCCTCAAGGTGAAGTAAATTTATGGAGTCGTTGCACGCACCGATTTTCAGTTCTTGTTTATTCTTCGATATTTCAGCGTCCGACGCTAAAAGCGTGCATATCATCGGCACAAAATAATCATCAATCTATCCTATAACGTAGACTGTTACAAAGAGAACTAAAATTAATTTTACCATATTTCAACGTATCTTTGTTAGCTATTTCAATATTATTCAATTTTTGCTATTTTCAGAAGAGATTTAACACGCTCATAGCAATTATGACTAGGGGAACATTCGAAACACATAATATTTGATCTTCTAACAATAGAAATGCAATATTCAAAACAGACTGAACTAACTGCTCGGAACGGTTAAACCATAATACGTAGACCTTATGCATGTTACATGCAGTTAAGTGTAATGTAATATTATCTTGTAAGCGCAAGGCGAGGTAGACTCTCTAAGAAATTCGCATTTGCCATTTGCAGCATGAAGACGATACCCTGCTTATAATTCAACGACTTGGACAGACACCCTTCTTTATGCTGTTTCGCCAATAATATTCTATTATATGTGGTATCTCTCAAAAGTATCTATTACGATTGTATACGGATGAGATAATAGAAAAACGATAAACGTTCCCGTTTGCCGGAGATTCGCGTCCCGATCCGAAGAATAAATTCGTGTCGATCGTAGAACGCAAATTGCTCTATAGCTGCATCATGATTTTAGATGAACGGATGTCCTGTTCCCCCCCGACACTCTCCTCGTTCTCTTGTAATTTATTATCACGCCACAAGCGTTTTTTGCTCGCAAATTTCTAAAACGGTTTTACGAGCACTTGTAGGTATAATACAATAAATCTCCATCATAGGGATGCATGTACAGTTCTCGTCGACATGTACGTTTGCGTACGTGTAGTGCATTTCAATTATTGCACCAAGAGAGCATGTTCGTTTTATAGTATTTTCGTAGGTATTTTGGTTGCATTCGCGCAAACAAAAATGTAATTGTAACGTCGTACGGCAATTTTGTTTGGAAAATATTGTTCAAGTAAACGCTGAATAATAATGATTTTTATTCGCGTTGCAAATTTGCGTTAAACCTACTCTGTTTTCGCAGCTTTCCACAAAGTCCTTCACGAGTCCGGGAGATCGTGAAATGGATATTTTGTGAATTGCGCGAGTCTCAATTTCAGTGACAGAAGGGAAAATCGACTCCGAAGTCGAAGAGAATCTGTCATTAAAATTAAAATTGCAAATTGTTCGAGACATCCCCGTAAATTTCTCGTAATGGATGGATGTATTCAATGCATACAGATTTACTAATTTTATGAAGTTTTACGTTTGGCTGCGCTCACTGATGCAATTGCCTTCCACGTGTTCTTGCAACAATTATTGTGATTTTGCGAGAATTACGCACATACGTTTCTGCAAAACTTTGCAATATGCGCGCCGGTAGTATTGGCAATTTCATTAAACATCATCATTACACCGCCAAGAATACAACTCGCGTTCGTTCAACGTTAACACAATTTAACGTTCGCGTTCGTCGACATGTAAATCAAATTAAACATAGTATTCGTGCGCGCAAATATAATTCCAGGTCAAATACTAGAAATTTTTTGTTATGCGCGTTTTACGCGAGCTACGAAATTTTTACAATTAACCGATTTAAATTTGAGAGGTATCGATATTAATAACAGTAAATGCATAATTATCCAATTCGACATAATTATCGATATTGTATATCATTAATATCAATTGTTATAAAGATATGACTAAAATCATTTGAAGAAGTTGATATCGAAGAAGATGCTATCGATACCAGCATCTCCGCTTTAATTTGTCCTATGGACGGTTTCGCTGCCGCTGCCACTTGGAGTGATCTATATAGTTGTTAGAAATGCAGATCGCCGGGTGGCGCGACTTATACACAGGGTAAACGCATCGACCTGGCCATAGCTCGCGTCAGGTGCGCTCTCGCCCTCGAGCGAGCGATAATGACGGTCCGGGGAATTTAAACGCGGCGATACATCGTTGCGGGAGGACGTGACGGACTTCCGATCCGCGATGCAAACCCCCGCGCGGTCGGCCGGCCGGTTATCGATCACAATTTCAGTAGGCGATTACCACTTGACCCGTGCCTCGCATGTAAATGACTCCGCTGCTTACGACCCTTCCTGTTTGCAGTCGTTCGACCTTCTCGATTTTCACAGCGCTCCGCGTCGCGCTGCGTGTATTCTTTACATCGCTATCGTCAAGCGATTAGCATCGGCGAGGATATCGCCGGCGATCTTTGTGTCGGTCTCCGAGAAGAGTGCACGACGCCGCGACGTGCGCAGGACGTTTAACCCATTGACCGTCAAGAGAGGCAACAAAGTTATCCGAGAATATAATTAAATAGTTTACCTATATACTGAATAAGCTTCTCCCTCGTTTCTTTTAATTATCAGATTATATTTATTAACATATCTAATCAAAGCTTATTTATATTTATCGAAACGTATTTAAAAGAAGCTCCTTGTAAAAAAGATTAGTAAACAAAAGGATATGAACCATACATACTTCCTTTTGTCATATAAAATGCTTATTTCAAAAATAATGAAAGAAAAACGAAGGGAGGGGGGAGAGAGAAAGTGTGTATCTAGTTTCGAAATATTATATTCATGAACCAGTATTGATTTTAATTACATTATACCAATAGAGAAAATAATGAAATTACTGAAAGTCATATCATTATTCAGTGCTTTAATCTGAAATTAATAATTTCATATGTTGATATAAAAGTATTGTAACAATTTAAAACCGGCATAAAAACCATTTTTGTTATAAATTAAAATACTATTCTGTAGAAAAACTATTCCGGCCTAATTTTATTACATCCCTTTTGGTAATAGAAGATTCGACGAGTTTCTCGAAACTATATTTACATGGTTTTTAATTTAACGCTGGAATTTCTCGGCAAAGATCAGTAAATTGGATTGTGCGTTTTTATTTCAATGTTGGTCACGATGGTTATTATATTAAATTGAATTGTGAAAAATTTAATTTATTTATTTATTTACATTATACTAAAATCGCAAAAATTCATCATAGGAAGCAAATGTATCATAATACGAATTATAGCGCGATTATTATGATATGGATTATAACTAACGACGCACTGAGAAAAAAAATTGTTAATCCCAAAAAATATTTAGTCCGATACGTTCAACTAAATATTTTAGTTAGTTAACCAAATATTAGTTGTTTCAACAATTTATTTAGTTTCTTTAATCAAGAATTAATTTATTCAACTAATGTTTAGTTAACTAACTAAAATGTTTAGTTGAACGTATCGGACTAAATATTTCTTGGGATTAATAAATTTTTTTTTCTCAGTGCGGGATCTTATCTTACAATTAGGTTCGAATCTGTTGGGTTAGTTTCGAACTCTCTATAAATAATTAAACATTTATTTCATCCGGCTATAATTGGCAAATAATCATCGTGACGATTCGACCATTGGTTTTGGTCCTTTAATTGTCAAAAAATAAAAACAGTACTTTCAAGTAGACTCGAGCTTGGACAAAATAAGTTCGAGCTCGAGCTCTTTATGAGTACCACGAAAAACAAAAGTATTATTTTCAAGTGGACTCGAACCTAGGTTACATATATTCGAATCTTTTTATGAGTACTTTATTAGAAATTTAACATTTCTTTGATGTTTGTATAAGCGTTTGTATAAAATGTATGTATAAAGCGATAATTATTTGAATATATTATTTTTTGATAATTACAAATATTAGATTATCAATCGTTAAAATTAAATATAATGAAAAGATAATTAAAAATGTAGAGTAAAAGTTACTTAAAATCTTTACACGTTTATACATTCTTTAAATTAACAACTTCATCCTTGGAGTTCGAATCTATAATGTAACTAATCTATAATATTATATAATGAATCTATAATATTTGTAATGTAAAAGATTCTATTTTTTGCACTAGAATCTTCTTAAAAGTTCACTTAATAAATAGTTACATTCACTTACATAAGTAGTTACTAATTATAAGTAACATTTCGAATCTTGCTAATACTCATTCTAAACTTCAAAACTAACTAGTCGGGATCAATTACTTTGCAAGTACAATGTATAAAATAGTATTTCTTATGATATTAGGGAAAGAAAACTAGAAAATGAAACTTAATTATCCCTCCGTGGTCACACTGGATCAATTTGACTCAACTTTATTTGGATCTAAATATCAGCTAAATACCTAGCTTAAAATGGACCTTGGTCCGCCATCTACAAGAGTTTGAAATATCCTCTATAGGTTAGAGACCGTTAAAAAAACAAATTTTTCGCGAACTTTTTTCATATGTTAAAAATTCCTGAGGCACTTTTTTTTATAGCAATCAATTTAGCAATATCGCAAGTGCATTCGAGAATTTTTTCAACACGATCGGTGGATAAATGGTCAAATGGCGAACGATCAAAGTTCGTCTCAGGTCAAAATGACCCAAAGGGACTTTCTTGTTTGAAAAAATAGGTGTGACCACGGAGGGTTATTGGATTTGACTTGGATTTTTAAATACATATTGAACTTAATCCCATTTCTAATTATAACAACTCATTTCCGGTACAGTATCGAATTATTAAAGTATATTTTACAAGTAAAGTAATTTTACATCACTTGTACCTTACTTATATCATTTATATTTTTATCGATAACATAAAATTAGTATTTTAGTATTTTGACAATTATTAATTGTATACCTACATTAAAAAATGCTACGGATCGATAAGTATAACTATCAGTTTATATATAGAAAATTGAAATTAGAGCTCAGGTCAGAAAAATGTCAATTTTAAAAAGTTTATTCTTTATGATGAGTATTTCTTGATTTGGATTTTACCCTTGAATATTAAGGGTAAAATCCAAGTCAAGAAATATTTATAATATAATATTATTCATTATTTTACATAGTTTTAATAATCTAAAGATTTTATGTTCTTATTTACTTAATAAACGTAATTGTCAGAAATCATTAAATGGATCAATTCCTCGATCTTCCACTGCATGTCTATATTATTTGCTGAATGTTCGGAAAGGCTTTTGGTATATAAACACACACACATTAAATAGCTAATAAATCCATACTTCCATGAAGACACAAAACAGAAATTGGATTTTGTATTGTAACTTTATATACAGAGTTATAAATGAAGAAGAACGAAAGAATGAAATGAAACAATAACACAATCGATATGTGACCTAAAAGTTGCAATAGGCAATAGCGAAGGTTAATATAGTTACTACAATACCTGTTTCATCATTGCAGCGTCTCATCTCGCTCGCTCCATCATAAATCGATCATAATTTCAGGATGCCATATCACCTACTATGTATGCTAGAAGACCATTAATGAATTTCGCCATTTATAGTCATTCATTCTGTACGTTTCATTTTTTGCATTAGCTTACAATAGCTCGCCGATATAATCATCTCGATTCAGTTAAGATGATTATAAAAGAAGCAATAATCAAATGGATCGCGATATCGCAATATGTAATCGAAAGGCTTTTTGCATTCATAAATCTCTCTATTCTGGAAATTATTTTACGCGCATATGTCGTGCTTTTGCGCATATTTCACGCCGCTCATTACATTACTTTATTAATTTATTAATTTCACAGCCGCTTTGTTAATAAAGCACAACGAAATTTTTTACAGAAATACAGATCTAATAATACCTACCTACTTTAATTAAAAATTAGTCTCATGTTAGTTTCAAGAATTTATAAAAATATAATACGAGTATCTTTTTCTCCGTTTGGAAAAAATATATTTCATAAGCATAAAAATAATGTAATATTACAGAGACATATTTTTCGTTCTTATCAAAATATGTCGGAGCTTGATGTATACAGGGTATTTTGTGTTTTCTAACAAGTAACACTATCCAAGTGTCACACACCGATCTTTATGAAACTGTGTACGCATGTAGAACTTCGAAAAATATTTGTGTCGTGTTTTTTTGCTCATAAAGCGTCTTAAGAGTAGAAACCACTCTCGAAATATTGAGCTTCTCAATTCTATGTATATATAACAACTCTTTAGGCCATGCACGTTGCTGGTCGATTTTTCGTAAAAAAAAAAGACCAGAAGACCCTGAAAACTCCTAGAGATAGTATTCTGGTGTAAAAACCATTCGACATAACGTATATAGGGTTGAGAAGGTCAATATATCGAGGGTAATTTCTACTCTTAAAACGCGTTTATGAGCAAAAATAAAAAAAAACAAGTCACAAATATTTTTCGAAGTTCTACATGTGTGCACAGTTTCAAAAAAATCGGCGTGTGACAATTGAATAATGTTACTTGTAAGTGCAAAAAATGAAAAAAGATATTCCGGAGCTTATTTTAGGAAGAAAAGGTCCTATAAATATACCTATGCTCTAAACTGCTTTGTTTTCAAAATACAAAGTGTCAAAAATATGAAAAAAAAAGTAATAAAAATTTCGAAAATCTGGAAAATGTTTAAAAATATTTTATTCAAATTTGATATGCGTACATGTGTAGTATTAAGAACCATTTTCCAGTACTGATGAAACATTTTTAGATCCACCAGGGGCGTGCGTATAAGTAATTTTGCATTTTGAAAACAAAGCAATTTAGGGCATATGTGTTTATAGGACCTTTTCTTCCTAAAATACGCCATGAAATATCCCCTTTAATTTTTTGTACTTAGAACACTTTGTATATCGCAGGCACGTGGTATCCGCCGCGGTATCTGCCGCGGTATCTGCCGCGGTATCGCTCTCATGACAACTTTTCGTTTCTTTTCGGCAACATGTTGCATCGCCCAAGTTAGAATGTCTTTTCTCGGTACACGGTTAGTGTGCGATTTAGCGGCAATCTCGCATGCGGCGGGAATATATTCCCGAGTATATATTTAGGTCGTTTAAATTCTACAATCACGCGCACGCACGCCGTGCCGTTTTGATACGGCGCTCCGCGGCGAACGTCCTGTGCTCCCTTTTCCAAGCATCGCATTATTTCCATAATGTCAACGTTACATGCACACACGTGTCGCTATATACGCAGCCGCTGTACGAAGCTATGAATTATAAAAACGCGGCGCGTACATGCGACATGTACGCAAACTTCCTTCCCTAGCCCCTAGCTTGATTTTGTCCGTAGTTACGCAAGCCGTTTTTCTTGCCGGCTTTATCTCTCTTGACATTCAAAACTCTATCTCGCGATTACTATCGTCCGCCGAGCGACCATTACGAGCGAGAATGTTGCCTGGGTAAATTCACGCGGTATCTCCGATCGGTCTTCGACAAAAAACACCTACGACTTGAGATTTTATTCTTATTCGGATAGCTGATGCAGAGCTATAATTGGAAGGACAGAGATTAATATACGCACTCTTTGATATTAAAAGTTTGCTCTTAATTCAGGCGACAATAATCATAGTAGGGTGATGTGTAATGTTTGACGCACATAGATATTTTACTTGATGCAGGGATTATAGATTGGGATCGATGAGGGCTGTAATTCCGAAAAGATCCACCCTCCGAATTTTACAAAATTCGGTGAAATAATCCCAAATACAAATAAACATATCTAAAAGATTTTTTGGCGCAGTTAAAGATTAATTGTGATAACGTTAAAATGATATAATTGTACATACTTTAAGGGTAATTATGAAGTATAGGGGATGCAGTTTCGATAATCTCTATATTTTTCTCTAAACAATAACCGTTAACAAGTAACAGCATGCGTGGGTGGGAGTGGATCTCAGTTCGTGCGGAAAGTTGAAAATCGTACAATGCTATCCAGAGAACCATTCACGCGAAGTGAGGTTCACTCCACTTCATCTACTTACAAGGCGAAACGAGGTCTATCATTATAATACGGTTCGAGTTTTCAACTTCCCACGCGAACCAAGGTTCATTCCCACCTACCCTTGCTTGCGGAGGAGGGACGGTAGCCCCTCCCCCACCTACATGTGTACTGTCTATACACACATATCAGCAAATTACTTCCCTTAGCACTGACACAAACTATTATATTTCTTGAACTTTTTCGTTAATAACTTTTCAGGTTTTCAACTTTCCACGCGAAGTGAGTCCAGCCCGCCCCATCTCCTGTTTACAGGGCAATACGAGGTCTATCTATTGTTATATGATTCACGTTTATTATTTTAGTATTATCTCGGTTAATTTTCAATTGCGCCAAAAAAACCTTTTAGATATGTTCATTTGGCAGTGTTTGTGATTATTTCACCGAATTTCATGAAAATCGGAGAGTGGACCTTTTCGGAATTATATCCTCGATGAGAAATTACTGTACTACTACCGATAATATATGAACTTTAATATTAGATTTTTTACTTTTGGTAATTAGCAAGTGATTGCATTATCAATTTCTCCTTAATCTACTAAACCGATAATAGGGGCCGGTATTCAAATAAGTTAGAGTTTAACGGTTTGACAGGTTATGTTGGGTTAAAGTCGGGTAAAAAGTTAATTTTTAAACTTTTAAACCAAAGATTAATGTGATAGGTTAATGAGTCACTTATGTATTTTGCATAACCTTAAAGAGTAGCGCGCCCAAAGTTAATTAATTAACTTTTTACTCGACTTTAACCCGACATAACCTGTCAAACCGTTAAACTTTAACTTATTTGAATACCCCTAATATAATATAAATAATAGGTTTTTATTTTTTATAATTAGTAAGTAATTGCATTGTCAATCAATTTTTTCTTGATCGCCACATGAGATCATGAAGATTCAATATTGGAAATTGAAGGTCCTTTTGTAGGTCAAATTTGAGCGCACGAGACTTAAGCGAATAAATTACATTTATCGGCCTCGTTTGTCGACCAACTTCGACATCGATTTGATTTCGTAGCAGTAGTTTGTAACTTTGTTCGCCGATATATAATATTTGCGAAATTACATATTAACTCTAGATCGCACAGCACGAGTCTCCCAGACCCAAACAAAATTTCGCTTGCTCGGAATTTTCTATTTTTGACTTTTGATATTTAATTTTAACTTTATAACTTGACAAAAACAATACAACTTTTTGATATTATAAAACCTATTCAGGTATATTTCTAAATATCAAAACTTAAAAAGAAATAAAAATATTAATCTGAACCAGAGTTACAGCCTATCAAAGTTACATGGGTTTCTGGGAGACCCATGGTGTGTGTTTTCGGGATGCACTGGAAGCTGTGTGTTCTAGAGTTAAACCATTCAGTAATTAAGTTTTGATACACAAATGTAAATATCGCACATGTGTAAGTACCCTCGCACAGAACGCGCGAATATCAAAACCCAGACAGCACGCATGTTTAAACTTATAAGACGTACGTCTTAAAGATGTCTTTAAGACGTCTTACGATATGATGTCTTGACGTCATCAAGGATGATCGCGCTCGTGTTTCAGGGACTCCCCGGTGGCAGCTTCATCATTGGTCACCAGACGTTTCGGGGGATGGCGCACTGGCGGAAGCCACGAGTATGTCAGATGCCCCGTGCGACAGCCTGCTTCCATGGACGAGCGGTAAAGATCCTTAGTTTTATCAACTCTAAAGGCGCGAGAGGAATCGGTAGTCGTCGAACTTCGGCGCTCTCTCGTTCTTAATAACGATTCGAATGCAGCGGAACGACTGAATTGCGGAATCTTTCCGTGATCATAATTGGCGAGCGTCTATAAAATGCATCGTCTCATGAATACCCAACAAACGATCGGTATATTTATAACCCAAAGTGCCTCCCGGAACCTATCGGTCATAAATCGCTGCAGATGACGTCGTCTTGTCCCACGAATGTCTCCTAGTTTGTTAAAAAAATAACAACTCGGTCGTGAGTCAAATCTTGTGCAAGGCCGACAATACCATATGCACGTACACGCAATGAATCATGTAAGGCTCCTTTTCTAGCCCATTTCTTACATAGATAGGACAAACGTTTCTTACATAGAAAGCCCGTTTCTTACATAGGAAATACATAGGACAAATGATGGATACCTACGCATTTTGCAAATAGCGCGCGTAGGATAAATGACAGATATGCAGATAAATTTCAGATACAGAGTTGCAAACTTTAAACAGTTTCCACATCACTTTCGATCGATTGCAGATTGTTTGATTACGCATTTTTTTAAATTTGTTTGCATTTGTTGAGGACCGAAAATGTTGATGCATATATACTAGGGTGGTGTGGGGTGATGTGCAACATGGGTTGATGTGCAACGTTTCCGATTCCTGGTCTGCATGTCGACATTTGACAGAACCGCATACTACCATGTGTTTGTGCCGACAGTACCTTGTTTTAGATAAATAACTCGCGAGATAGCACGCATCCTGGTTTGCTGTACGAAAAGCGAGTCAAATTTCTCGAGCTGAAAGTTTTTTTTGCTTTTCACATTCATAGTGATTTCGTGAATTGGTTTTAGTCATCTTATAGGTAAATATTTTTATATTGTTAGTTTTTCAAGTGCTTTTGATAATTCAAAGCGATTTTGTGATTTCCTTACATTGTGTTGGTGTCACGCCAGTCCGCGCAAAATAGCGTGTTTGGGGTTATGTGCAACACTCATTTTTTCGCTAGTTTATCGCTATTTTACGATTGAACATATGTATATGAAGTGTTTTAATGCATTTTTCAATGTGTTTAGTCATTTATGCCACAAAAGTATAAAAATAAAGGTATCGCTGTTCCGGTCAATTGCAAGCTAATTTTCAGATGATGAAAAATAAAGTTTTTTGCGTTTTTCCTTTCATTATATTAATTTTTAGGCGATAAATAAATAAGAAATTAAATAAAAAATGAGTTTTTTTGTGAAATTTCCATTTGTCAGAGGTCGATTACAACCATTTAAGTCGATTGATGTCGATATTCATGCATTTTTATCTTAATTTTACCTGTGTTGCACATCACCCCAAGATTTTTTGAAAATGCTAAAACAGACGTTTTTTTGAAAATTCGAAAAATTTTTAGAAAAAATTTAAAATTTTGAAAATCTAATCATGCAGAATTTTAGTATTTTCCTTCCTCTACATTATACAGCCATGATATATTCAAGAATTTGATTTTTGGATATGTTTTCCGAGCAACGAAAAAAAGTGTTGCACATCACCCCACACCACCCTAATAATAAAAAGAAAGATAAATCCCCGAATATTCATCGTTTTGCTTCGTATGTACATATTACTGCACAAAAAACAGAAATACAGAAATAATGAACCGAAACTTTCGTGAAAAACCACGGAAATTAAATATTCTCATTGCTATAAAAATATGATTACACTTACAAAAGCGTAACAAAATTCTCACACTTTATTATAATATCATTAGTTTAATGATAATTTCGTAATTTCGAAATTGCATGCTTCTAATAATTAATGGCTTTCTGGACGTCATATAAAATTTTAATCTTGAACAGTTTTCGAAAGAAATGCTTCAACGTTCCTTGCTTTATTACCCCATTCTGTTCCACCTAAATTAAAGGACTTAATTAGAGACTATGACGGACTAGAGAAATGCCGGAAATCGAAGGAAACCGATCTAAGCCGAAATTAGATTCTGATTCCATGTCGACTAATTCCGGAAATCCCGCAGGTGTTATCGGCGATCGTACGAGTCCGAGGCCACTCGTCCGCCACGGTACCACTATCACCGACGCACGGACGCCGAGCGGCACACGAAGAGCTGCGAATACGCGAGGCGAGCGGCCACGGAGTCGAGCATCGAGGTCCAGCACTTCGGCCTGCCGATCCTCAGCGTGAGCGAGCCGAGCCCTCCGGACGAGAGCGAGCGCGTCGACGACTACTTGTAGGACTTGCTTGCCGAGGACTTCCTCAAGGAGCTCCTCGTGTGATCCGACCGATCCTCCGATCCCGCGCGGCACGGTCTCGTCCTTAGTCTTATTGTTAGAATTGGGACCCGGACATTTTGCCCTTCTGTTGTCGAATGTGCCCGCCGTGTCGACCCGGGACCAACGGCGCCGTTCTGCCGCACGCTAGCGACTTCCCAGAAGTATTTGCGATCGGTCCAAATAAGTCGGAGTGAGGCGGGAGAGCGCGGATTTCTCGATCGCGCGCGCTCTATCCCTGTTCGTAAGTGACACTCTCACTTATCTTGGAAGAGTCTCCAAAGGTCATGAATATATTTGCTATTTGTATTATAAGAACCGCGCAGCTACGAGGAGTAACCGACCTCGCGTTTGATCTGGACTTTGCCTTTTGTCAGCACGTTGGAAAACGACACAAGCGCGAAATGTTGCCCATATATATTTTTTTTTTCCCAGTACGTTAGAAGTTCTCTCTAAAAAGATCAATCAAATGTTACATACGTAGAAACCAGTCAATGTGTGTGTATGTGCGTGCATTAAATCTGTGTCTTTTTGTAACGTCCCGAGAAAGAAGTGGAGCTGGATCAAACTTGACCATCCTTTGTATCGTATTACTTCTAAAACGTACGTGGCCTGGTGGATAATTTTGTTACCTCTCGATATCATGGATTGATTCTAATTCGCGACAGGAAGAATTCAACTGGAGTTGTCACATTTGAATTCTCGAGAACTAAAATCAAATTCACTGCACATCTTTACTTACGAAGGAAAATATCTTATAGTTGACGATTTAAGGATAATGAATGATATTTTGAGCTTGCAGGCGTGTAGATCCGATCAATTACATTCTGGCAACGCACGAATAAATACGTAATAATAACACACATGTCTCCTTCCATTTCGCACACTCGTTCATGATCTTCTCACGCGTAACAGTGGCGTAGGAAATGACACTTTCTTATTTATCACTTATCAAATTAGGGTGCATCAAAGTCCAAGTTTTTCCAACTTTGTAATATACAATTCGAAATCAAATACATACTCGCACAGAAATTTCGATTTAGCGTTGAAGCCATGTCCAGATACGGATTATAAAAACAGACATTCGCTCTCAAGTATCGTTTTATCACGTTTATTTTCAGCATCACATTGGTATAAACTTCGACTAGATTTCTGTCAAGAATCTATACGAAATCGGGCCATCAAATATTTCATTTTACGTATAGTTACATAAAATATATCATGTATCATGATATCAGAAGCGAGTCAGAAAACTGGCTATAAATGTCGCGATTTGGCTAGTGAGTACGATACAAATGTTTTACAAAGAACTATTTTCAGAATAGTGCAGTATCGCGAGCTACATATTTTCATATTATCTTATCACGTCATCCAAATACTTGATAGATAATAATAAATCACATAAGGTAAAAGATACCTTTAACTCACAGAGAGAAAACTATAATTAACGAAATCATTACATTATAGCATTGCTAAAATCTTTAGTATTATGTCACTTGAATACATATATTTCCAAAGGCGTTAATCACGCGTGTACGACTTAGCTGACAAATTCCGAATATGCTTAAAAGTCAACGCAAGGGGCAAAGCATTTTTGTTTCTAAATACATTAAGCATTTCCGCGTTATCGAAGCCTAGATGGGCCGAAACGTCTGTGATACACTCACATTTTAGCCCGTGTACAAGCTTGACGCCTCGGAAATGTTTATCCAAGTGGTTAAGCGGCTCGTGCGGTTTGCGCGCCTTCTCTCGTTTTCACGGAGTGCTGGGGCTGGTAATCTTAAGACGAACTCGAAGACACACTTGCTTGCTTTATCTCCTCAGTAGTAAAGATAAACGTGCAGTCGCGTGTATTCGAAATTATGCGCCTCGACCACTTACAATATCACGTCATCGTGCAGCGAATCAAGGCACTAGGTGCCTCGGACCAGCCGCGCAAGCTCCTTGGCCGTTAAGAAGAAGAAGCGCGGCTGATCCGAAGCACCCTGGCGCACATATCAGGCGCGTGTGGCAAGCGCTTACCGTTCATAGAAATCGATTTATTTTCGCATTACCCACATGTCTCTTCCAAATAACGATTTAAGACTTGCGCGTGCGAAATTTCTCGACGCACAGATGCCTGAAAGCTCGAATTGTACTCTGATCGTTCGCGAGTCGAACGTACTAGATTAATTTTTGCGGATGCGTAGGGAACTTGATAACAGCTATAGACATATATAATAGATTGAGCATTTCCATTGGAAAGCTTCTGGCAAGATCTGAAGGACAGAATTGATATGCTTGCTGAGATTGTTTCCTTGTTTCTCCACCTTTCCTTCTCCCCACCAACGACACAATTAGAAAAGGTTAGAAAAGGAAAGGGTCTCAACAAGCACATCTTCTGCGTCCTTCAGATCTTACCAGAAGCTCTCCAATGGCAATGTTCTATTATATACATCTATGATAACAGCACTCTTTCGATCATCGATCGAACTCCTTTAGGCCAAGCTCGTCGTATGTCGCATGAAACTTATTATACGTGTATCAATGTCTGTGACATGATGACGGGACCAGACGGGAGACAAAAGAAGAAATGAATAAGGGAAAATTAGCGATGTTAGTAGTAGAGAGTTTAACAATCTCACACACTTTACGCTAAGAAGATATATTAATCCATCTCCACGTGTAATTAAGTCGGCTATATACTGATTATATGTACATTTACAAGTTAAGCAAGAGTTTGGAAGAAATCGCTACTTCCAGGTATCCACGCGAAATTCCTTCGCTTAAGCGGTACGCGGAAAAGCGCGATATCCTTGATGAGAAACTTAATCGCGGGTGAGCTGCGAGGTTCCATCTCTCCGAAGAGAGAGGATATCGAGGAGAAGACCTTTTTCTCCCCTCGGTTTATCGCCTATCAGGGTTCATCGCAACGTGGGAACAATATAGATTGTGTAATAATACGTGCGACAGATTCTCGCGCGAGAACCACCTCGCGTCGTTGGGTTATCCGGAACATTCTGCAATCTTATCGGGTCAATTTTAGAGAACGGAGCCGCGTGACTTCTTTCCATTATCGCAATTCGCTGCTACGCGAAGCACGTGCCTCGTCCGCTACCGATCTTTCTCAATTTTGCATCTCTGGACCAAGTCGTAGAACGACTCGTCGTAGAAAAAAGGGATGACAATTATAAAATCGTGATTATAAATCAAATATTTCATCTTATCGATATAATTGATAGTTAATTTGAACGCAGCTATATATAAGCTTATGAAATTCGTTTTATTGTCAAATAGATTAAATCAAGTAGAATTAATGCTAAAAATTAATTTAACAATAATTCTAATGTTGATTTTGTCTTAAAAGATTAAAATCTTAAAATATCGCTAGGCGCTTACTATTTTATTCTTTTCAAAGAAAATACGGTAATTATATACTTTAGGGGAGGCACCTCCGATGACCTTGACCTTGATATATGTTGTCAAGATCACCCTCCTGAGTGACCTTTAAAAGGTTTTAGCCGTCGCTCGTTTTTTATTAAAAAGTTATTAACAAAAAAAGTTTGGCGACCTCACCGATTTCAATGACCTTGAATATGTTGTCAAGGTCATGATTCCGAGTGACCTTCAGAAGATTTTAGCCGTCGCTCGCTATTCGTTAAAAAGTTATTAACAAAAAAAGTTTGGAAAATATAGCATATATAGGTGCATATATAGGTTAGTTGACGCGCTTTAAACACTTAAATACTTTTAAAGCGCGTCAACTAACCTATGTTGCGCGGAGGTTGTGCGCCTTGACTTTTGTGTGAGAGCGCGCGCGACACCCGTGTACAAGTCCGTTTGCGATTGATTCGCGTTCGAACGGAGTCTCGCACAAAAGTTAAGGCGCACAACCGCTGCGCAATATTGGTTAGATGACGCGCTTTAAAATAGTTTTCAAATGTTTAAAGTTACATTATGTATTACACGGTTACACTTGAGTGTTAACCTATGTAGGTTAGTGACGCGCTTTAAAAGTATTTAAGTGTTTAAAGCGTGTCAACTAACTTATATATGCACCTATATATGCTATATTTTCCAAACTTTTTTTGTTAATAACTTTTTAACGAATAGCGAGCGACGGCTAAAACCTTCTGAAGGTCACTCAGGAGGGTGACCTTGACAACATATGTCAAGGTCAAGGTCATCGGAGGTGCCTTCCTTAAAGTATATAATTACCGAAAATACATATATTGTTTTAATATCGTGATAATACTTTACTATAACACTTTTCTTATTACTGTTTTAATCACATTTTGCGAAGAAAGCTTCTTAGACATCATAGCATTATTTGTAATTACAGGGTAAATAAAGATAGCGAGCAAAGAGAGTTGTCAGACTTGTACATATCTTAATCAAATCATTAATCCAAAAAAGCTGTTTTTACCTTTTCAATACTTTAAATTCTCGATATCATCACGTGGGTAATTTACAAACTGTGAAGTTCAGGGACCAATTGAAACAGATCAGACACACTGAGTTTCGCTCGCAAACAACGATTTTTATAGGATACAATTGCACTGCATTACGCAAATCGCGGAACATATTTGCTAGTCCACTTATAATGGTTGACTGGAACATATCAATATCGATTAAATTTTCCTTTTAGCTTTAAATGGCGAAATTGAATATGATGAAAGTAGGACTAATAGAATATATGTCGTATATGTTCAGTTAGTCCTTTAAACATATATACATCTTATATGATTATCTTATTCATCCACGTTATCAATATTAAGTCACAGTTCTTTATCTGCAATTTAATAAAATGCAAGTCCAAAACGATAAGAATACTAATATAAGCTTTAACACAGTTGAATCACAAATACTAACACAAAAATTTATTTCTAATGTTTTTAATATGGAAAACATGAAGCACGAAGAGAAGTAAATTTGAAATTTCAGGATAAAAGCTTTTCGGTTAAACGATAATATTTTATACTTTTCTTCAGATAACCTTCGTGCTATTTTAAATACTGCAAACACCGATATGAAATCTGGCTTATTGTTAATAAATATTAGTCATCGCCTTATTATACGGACTTTTCAGACCTAAACGCTTAGTGTTAGTGTTTGATTATCTATTTATCTATTCTTCAAATTACAATTGTTGAGAATTGTACGAAAGGGATACATCGAAATATTATAACGAGATATCCCACTCATCAATTTCGCCGTATCGAACACGTCAAACTATTAAAGTAGCTTTTATTACATCTGATATTAAATATCAGGTATTATATATTAATATATTACTATAGATCTCCAAAATAATTGCAGCATGCTCCGAATCGATAATCCCAGGTTGCTCTTCTCAGGATTTTCGCGCGAACGTATATCGCATGTATTAACCGGGCTACAATGTATGGACGAACAAGCGACGTGCGTATTCATACATTATGGTAAACTGCGTGAGAAAAATCGATAAAAATCGATAAAAAATTTTAACACTCCCGCGATCGCCGTGATTGTCGTGTATCACCGTTATCTCGCCCATTGATTTATCACGGGCTGCGCAGTTGCGACCAAACGCGGCTCGTACGTTCCTTTCTCTCATAACACACTCATGTAAATATCCACAACCAATAAAATATTAATTATAAAACACACGCTAATTAAACACATTCATGGATGACGCTTTTTATCCTTGTCGTCTAACTCGTCTCAGAATTAAAAATCTACACGACACATGTAACTTCAAATTGAATGTTTATTTTTATCCCCACTCGATCTCGTTCGCACATTGGATGATGCAGCGCGAGTAACATATAAATTTAAATATATCACTCAAATTACAACTTTCACGCAAGATGAACACGGGATAGTGTGTATCGGAAAATTAA